GAATAGTTATGAATTGAACATAGGGTCAAATATTTGTCCTAATTTAAAAAGGAAATTTAAAGAAATTTTTGAGAAATCATATTATACATCAGAACGGCCCACAGTTCCAAAAATAAAGTGCGAAATGAAATTGAATCTAGAAAATTGTAAGCCTTTTCACTGTCCCCCACGACGACTGTCATACGCAGAGAAAGAAAAATTGCAAAAGTTGTTAGATGAATACCAGGAAAAAGGTTTTATTCGACCAAGTGAGTCGGAGTATGTTTCACCAATAGTACTAGTAAAGAAAAAGACAGGAGATTTAAGAATGTGTGTAGACTACCGAACACTTAACAAAGGAACACTTAAAGACAACTACCCCATACCACTTATCGATGATCTCATTGACATGCTATCAGAAAAAAACTTGTTCACTAAATTAGACTTGAAAAATGGATTCTTTCACGTTTATATGCATGACGAATCAATTAAATATACTTCATTTACAACACCCATAGGTCAATATGAATGGTTGAGAATGCCATTTGGACTTCGCAACGCGCCTTCAGTTTTTCAGAGGTATGTGAATAAAATCTTTTCTGACATGGTAAAAGAAGGCAAAGTTATTATTTATCTTGATGACATATTGATAGCAACAAAAGATAGTAAAAGTCACGTTGAAATATTGACAGAAGTTTTTGAACGATTGGTAGCAAACAAATTAGAATTACGAATAGACAAGTGTGAATTTTTACAGTCAAATGTCAAATACTTAGGATACGTAATATCAGGAGAAGGAATTAAACCAGATGATAAGGGATTAGAGCAGTGACGACTGCTCTAAGGTGCGGAGGTGTGCGGTGAACACCCTAATATAATTTGCAAAATGTTAAATAACATAGGTATATAAATTTATTAAGTATCTTTACATCAAGAATTATTATTATTTATTACATTTCCATATAAATATATATTTTCAAAGTTTTAGCAAAAACAATTAAATATAATTGTCTATGAAAACTCAATTAATTTGCTTCTGTTAGCCGCTATACTTGTTAGTTGTGCTCATATATTTGCAGCTCAAATCACAGAACATTTCTATTATATTTCGTCTCTCCCCTTTGTGTGCTAAGAAGTTGGCCGCACATTCATACGTTACATATGAACAAAATAATGTGCGTGTGCTCCCGTTCGTAATATCAGAAATAGAGATTTATATAGTGGGAATTGTATGAGAGTAATTTTCTGTTCTACTCGAATATCAACTGCACGCATACGAATCCAACATGATGATTTGCCAAAGTGGTTGCATGAGCGGCTGAAGTTTGCAGCTCATCTCACCATACATTTCTATCACATTTCGTCTCTCCCCTTTTAACAGCAGCACCCACGAATTTCTGTTCTTATTGTGCGGGGTACTTGTGCGCACATTGCAAGTGGTTTCGATTTTGTTTGATCACTGCACAAACATGTATGTTTTTAAGTACAAACTCTTTTGTTTGAAAAAATTTGGTTTGATGTTACGAGAATTATGTGAAAAGTTTTGTTTCTTCCATATTGATATAATATTAAATTTATATATAAATTATTAATTTAATTTGTTTAATATGTTATTTTGTTAATGAATTGTTAATATAATATTGCGCGAATATATTGTTGCCTTATATAATATAGTTATTAATAAAAGATCTCATATATTTTAATATAAGTGGTACATGTAAAAACAACATTAAAGAAGGGCCGCACACCCTTCCAGATAGGGCACGCGTCGTCACTGGATTAGAGGCAGTGCAAAATTTTCCTATCCCAAGTAAGACGCATGAGGTTCAGAGCTTTTTGGGACTTTGTTCTTATTTTAGACGGTTTGTGAAGGATTTTTCTACGTTAACAAAACCTTTATATGATATTTTAAGAAAAGAAAAACTTTTTAGTTTTGGGGCAAATGAATTAAAATGTTTCGAAACGCTCAAGCAAAAGTTGTTGGAATCCCCAATTTTGGCTTTATACAACCCTAACGATCCTACCGAATTACACTGTGATGCAACTGCGTTAGGATTTGGTGCAATTCTTATGCAAAAGAAACAAGACGGAAACCAACAATCAGTATTTTATTTTTCAAAGCGAACAAGTGAAACGGAGTCTAAATACCATAGTTTTGAACTAGAGACTTTAGCAATAGTATATGCGTTGAAGAGATTTAGAGTATATTTGCAAGGCATTAAGTTCAAAATAATAACAGATTGCAATTCCCTGACTTTAACACTTAATAAAAAAGAGTTGAACTCTAGGATTGCCCGCTGGGCTTTAGAATTACAGAACTATGACTATGTATTAGAACATCGAACAGGAAATAGGATGCAACATGTAGACGCACTAAGTAGAAATACCCACATACTGACGATAGACTCCAACACATTTGAAGAGAACTTGACAATTTGTCAACTTAAAGATAAAAAATTAAAGTCTATAGGAGAACAATTGCAAAGGGCTGAACATAAAGACTATGAGATGCGAAACGGTGTTTTATATCGGAAAAAAGATAACGACACACTTTTATTTTATGTACCCGAAGTCATGGAGGATCATATACTCTATAAATACTGTTTATGTTTGCATTTATTTCATATTATTTTATATTTTTATTTTTTATGATATTTGGTTACATGTGTTTACATATTATTTGGGCCAACACTGCGACCAGTCATTGACCAACAAAAAGTGCAATTTTGCATTATCAGCTTTTCTTGTTGGTCAATGCACTGAAGAAAGTGTGTAATATGTTGGCCTATAATTATGTCAGCACAGCGTAGGCAAATTTATTTATTTGTGAATTATGCATTAATATTTATTGTTAATTAATGCATAATTTAATAGCTTTTTATAAAATAATTTTTGTATAAATATAAGAAATAATTTTAATAAAGTTCAGAAGGAAAAGAAAAAGAAACGAAATCAATTATAACTTTCTTACTTTCTCGCATCGATTAGTTTGGGTTTCAAGCGCTCAAACTAATCAACATAGAAAATTCAAGTAGTTTGGGTTACAAGTGCTCAAACTATTTTACACATAAGAATTGGCTACCAAGCTAACACAGATTAAAGATCTGGGTTAGCACCAAGTAGCGTACATTTTTTGGTGACCCCGACGTGATTATTGATATAATATCAATTTTCATTTCATTATCCTGACGAAGAACACTTTGAAGGAGTCAACTGTCTACAGAAAGGACATAATCAGGTGTACTTCACTCATCAAGCAGCTGAAGTATTTATTCATTGGAATTTTCGGACCGAAAATTCAAACATCGCCATGGATGCGTTATTAAAGAAGCAGTCAGAGCTCGGTACAGAGAATTTAGAGATTTGTTTCAACAATTGATCCATGATCAATCAATAAGCGCAGCCCACAAAATGTTCCATCTATCTACAAATTTGGCGGGTGAGCCGAAAGCCCTCATACGGCATCTGCCAATTTCCGAGAAAAATAACAATATAGCTTGGAATATTCTGTCAAATCGGTATGACAACAAACGACTCTTGGTGACAGCATTACTCAATAAATTGTTATCACAACCAAATATAACAATTGAATCAGCAAGCAGTCTTAAGGGCATACATGATGTTACAAAAGAATGTTATTATGGATTAGCAGCTCAAGGTATTGATGTTAAATCTTGGGACGCCATAATGGTTCACGTAATTATTAGAAAGCTAGACAAAGCTTCACATACGGCATTCGAGCAATCGTTAGAAGACAGCCGAAGAATAATTTCATTAAAAGAATTATTGCGGTTCCTAGAAGGAAGATTTCAGGCATTCGAATCAATGACGAATGGAAACCACAAACAAAGTCACAAACCACGACATCCAGCAGTAGCACTTGCAGCTACAGACTCAGGATCAAAATGTATTACTTGCAATAGTAGTCATCAATTATTTTCATGTGAAACTTTCAAACGTAAATCCATACAACAGAAGTATGATTTACTGAAACGTCACCTGGTCATATGGCATTACAATGCTCCAGCAGGGGTTGTACTATATGCCAAAGAAGACATAATACACTGTTGCATCAAAATAGACACCCAGTTCAACCATAAAATCATAAGTTAGTTGAAAATACTTCAAGGCCACTTGCACAAACAACTCTAATGTCATCCATCAATCATGGTCAGACCAGTTTCGTTCTTTTGGGAACAGCAAAACTTTTAGCATCCAACTCTAATGGAAGAACAGTCGAGTGCAGAGCAGTATTGGATTCAGGTTCACAAATAAATATTGTGACTGAACGACTGGCATCCAGATTAGGTCCGCAAGTAAGCTCCAGTTCGATTTGCATCGAAGGCATAGGGATAGGTAAATTGAGTTCTAAAATTCGTACAACACTTTCTGTGCAATCAAAAGTGACCGATTACAAAACAATACTTGAAGCATTTGTGTTGCCAAAAATTGTATCCAATCAACCATCGCAACACTTACAAATTTCAAATTGGAATCTGCCCAATAACATCCAATTAGCAGATCCTACATTCTATAAGTCTGACAAAATTGATATGTTGCTTGGAGCAGAATTTTATCATCAACTCCAAAGTCCTGGTCAAATACAACTTTCAAGGGAACTACCAATTCTACAGAACACTGTGCTCGGATGGATCGTATCTGGAAAAATTCAAAATGGTAACACAATGGTTGCAACATGTGGTAGTTATACAATGGTTGCAGAAGATAGTTTAGAAAATGCAGTAGAACAATTTTGGAAGGTTGAAGAAGTTGATACTCACTCAAAGGTCTTGTCAATAGCAGAACAACAATGTGAAGCCCAATTCACTCAAACTACATATCAGAATGTTACGGGATAATTCGTCGTACGTCTTCCTTTTATAAATGACAGATTCGCTTTGGGAGATTCGAAAGACATTGCTACAAATATATTTCTAGCACTAGAGCGTAGACTTTCAAACGATAGTCACCTCAAATCACAATACGTAGAGTTTTTAGGTGAATATGAAAAATTGGGACATATGACCGAAATAGATATTGAAAGGATTATGTCACCACATTATTTTATACCACACAATTATGTGCTTAAACCCGACAGTACCACCACCAAGTTACGTGTGGTATTTGATGCATCATCCAAAACAACATCAGGACAATCTCTCAATGATTTACTACACATCGGACCAACTGTTCAAAGTGAATTACTATCTATTTTATTACGATTCTGTCTTCCTCGTTATGTGTTTACAACAGACATTGAAAAGATGTACCAACAAATACTTGTACATCCAAAAGACAGACAATGTCAGCTTATAGTTTGGAGAAATGAACCAAGTCAACCTATAAAGTACTTTGAACTCAACACAGTAACATATGGTACTAGATCAGCACCGTATCTAGCAACCAAATGTTTGCAAGTTTTAGCTGATGACAATATGCAAAATTATCCATTAGGTGCATCTGCTCTCAAACAAAACTTCTATGTAGATGACTGTTTACACGGGGCAGATAGTCTGAGAACATTGTTGGAAACTCAGAGTCAATTAAACAAAATACTGACAGCAAGCGGTTTTAAATTGCGAAAATGGTGCGCAAATCATCCAAGTCTACTACAAGGAATTCCACACGATGACCTAGAAGTCAATTTAGATTTAGAAAATAATAACGATACAACAAAAACTCTTGCATTATCCTGGTGTCCAAAATCTGATAGTTTATGCGTCAAGGTTAAATTGGAACCTGTTTGCAGCACGACGAAGCGCAGTGCAACCTCAGATTTAGCAAGGCTATTTGATCCACTAGGACTTTTGTCACCAGTTGTGGTGATGGCAAAGATCTTTATTCAAGAATTATGGAATTTAAAGATGGATTGGGATGAAAAACTGCCGACTGAATTACATAAACAGTGGTTAGAGTTCCGGAACAATTTGACGAAAGTAAATTGTCTGCAGATATCTCGTCATATTTTCAAGGGCGAAGTTCCTGCCAACATTCAATTACACATCTTTACAGATGCATCAGAAAAGGCATATGGTGCTGCAGCGTATTTGCGATCAACACTTCAGAATGGTCAAATTATTGTACGACTATTGTGCGCTAAGTCTCGGGTTGCACCTTTGAAAAGGTTGACATTACCTCGTCTCGAATTTTGTGCAGCTGTGGTTGGCGCAGAACTAGCAACAAGAATAAAGAACGACCTACAAATAAGAAATTACCAGACGTTCTTTTGGTGTGATTCACAAATAGTGATATCATGGATCAACTCTCCATCATCAAAATTTCACACTTTCGTTGCAAACAGGGTAAGCAACATTCATCAATTAACAGCCACAAGTCAGTGGCGCCACGTCAGTTCGGAACACAATCCAGCTGACATTTTATCAAGAGGCCTTGCACCCCATAAACTACAGTCATCAAGTATGTGGTTTTATGGACCTATGTATGTTCCTGCATGGTCGGGAAGAACTGTGGCCTTCAAAACCATCATCAGCATTAAAATCCGAAACCCTCATTGATCCTGAACGGAAGAAGGAAACTCAAGTATCTACATTGTCTGTTGTTGCAGGCACAGCAAATCCTGGAGAGTTCATATATTCAATAAGACACAACAACTCATTTGGAAGACTTCAACGGATATTATCGTATACTTTAAGATTCGTAAAAAGAATCAGAAGAAAACAAAAT